AGTCCACATTTTCTTTCAACATGGCTTCTCCTTTGTTTCTCCTCAACACTCTTGGGACTTGTCCTTCAGAAGGGTAGCTGTTGCTTACAGTCTCTTGCCTGCCATATCTATCCATGAAATCTCCATTGTACGGATCTATCTGTCTTCTCCTTGACTCTACTCATTAAAAAATTACATTCTTCACATAATGTCCTTAAGGACAATGCTCTAAGTCATCAAAATCAAACCCCGTGTGAATAAATTCTATCAATATGTTAGTGGAGCCCACTAGTTTAATTATTAATGGTTATCCTTCCAAAATATAGTTTGCATTTTAACAGGTCCGTTTTTCTCAGGGAAAAATGCCTCAATGTAAAGGCATGACACAGAGGGGGAACCACTGCACCCTGGCTTGAGCAGAAAGTGTACGGGACCAGAATTCATCTTTGGATGTCTTTACATGGTCAACCACCTAACATTTCAGATACAAGGCTAAATCTGCTCATATTACTTGAAGTTAAATCCATTGAACTGGGCTACTTGTGGAGAAAAAATAGACATTCAAACTCTGTTGTAAAGATTGTTTGAAGTTTCTAAGATGGGTTTGCTCTACGATTCTGGCGTAGGAAACAGCAAAATCTTTGTTAACACTGAGAACAACTTAAGTTGGATGACAGCTATTGTAATCCCTCGTTTAAGTGGTATGAAATGAGTTTCCCTTAAAGCTCTTGTTCCTCAAGCCGTTTTTTCATTCTTGAGTTTCCACTTCTTGGATTAACTCAGAGATCAATATTTGATAAGAATCATTATTCTAGAAATTACTTTGGTTCAGCTCTTTCTTAACTGTTTTACTTAACTCTGTTTCTAAAAGTTTATATACATACACATGTATAAGCAATTCCAAAATCCTTCAGATGGTTTGTATAATAGTTCAAAGTCCTGGCATCCTCTCAGCATCACCTGTGAAGCTCTTTTAAAGAAGTGTTCATTCTAGGCCCTACCCTTAGGTTGTCTGATTCAATAGGACTGGGCCCCATGTGTGCCTCCTGGAAGCTTTGCGGTGATTGTGCTTGTATAGATAGGGTTATAATCTACTAGTCTATGACAATTTTAGAGAGGTAATAAAATATATGTCCATCTTAAAGTAAAAGACTTTATCATAAACTTTGGGATAAAGGGCAGGTTACCAGGTAAAACTGTTGCTATGTCTGTAAAACTGAAAATCACTGGCCACATTATAGGGTATAGAACAGATTTCCATTCGATTTATTGAAATAATTGTAGTAGCTCAAGCTGTCATAACAAAATGCCACAGACTGACTGGCTTAACCAATAGACATTTATTTTCTTACAGTTCTGGAGACTAGAAATCTAAGATCAAAGTGCTAGTAGGGTTAGTTTCTGGGGAAGCCTCTCCTCCTAGCTTGCAAATGGCTACCTTTTCACTATGTCCTCATGTGGCCTTTCCTCTGTGTGTGTGTTATTGGGTGGGGGTGGAGTGAGATGGATAGAAAGAGAGGGATCCGGTGTTCTTAGAAGGACACCAGTCCTATTGGATTAGGGCCCCATCCTATGATCTCATTTAACTTTAATTCACTTTTTAAAGGTCCCATCTCCAAATACAGTCACATCGGTGTTTGGAGTTTCAACATATGAATTTGGGGGGAAGGGGACAAAATTCAGTCTGCAACAGTAATCAAGGGAAAATTAATTTTAAAATGTCACCTTGAGCCAATATGGTTTTCCAGTAAAATTATAACTAAAGTCATAAATCTAAAAAATCATGGTTTATCTAAGCTGGGCATGATACATATCCAGGTTCAGCATTTTGCATGTAACACAAAATTAGCAGATTTTAGTTATTTACTCTAGCTCACTTGGTGACAAATTTCA